AGACTTACAGTGTTAAAAACCGGGTTTAGAGAGCACAGATAGCCTATTGTGTTGCTTTGTTCTTAACTACAAACAAACATATGTCGTGACTGAAGTTGGATTCATAGTACATTATTGTCATGCTGTGGTGACACAAGATGTAATTGACAGTGTTTGAAAGGTGTTTCAGAGTTTATGACTTCTACTTGAGATGATAAATACTAACCATTAAATCACAAACGGAATCTTTGGAAGTATGGAAAAATCAAGCAGTGCAATCAACCAGCTTCTCTTGCTCATTTTCATGGGATGAAAAATGAAACCATTTTCTGTGAAAAAAGTTTCTTCCACCAGGTGTCGGGCTTGACATCATGGTTAGGAAGCATAGTTGCAAATGAGAAAATCAAAGATTCGAGTTCTGGTTATACCACTGAACACTCTCCACACTTTCAGCCATGCCAATCAATCCTGTTATTGGGTTAAGAGTAAATGTGTAGGTGGCGGATTCCCTCCGGCTAGTATTCTAAATTAGAGGTGGGTTGCCCAAACCTTAATATTTCTGACCTAAATTTTTAGCCCATGTCTCACTTAATGTGCCAGGTACTAAGATATGTTTCCTCTTCTTCCTGTACATTAATCAGTGTTGGCTGGAATGCATTGTAAAATATACAAACAGTCTTCATGTAATCTCCAGTTTAAGGGATTTATAAGTTAGATATAACTTTATTCAAGGATTTTCATTTCTGACACTATTTTTGACATTTTACAGACTCAATGACCTATTTGATCTTGGTCGTCATTCTGGAAAGGTTTACTTTATCTATTTTTGCCCTTTTTTTAGATAACTTGGTATTTCAATACTATAATCCGTTTCTTACAAAAATTATATGTTTTCATGGAAATTCTAATCAACAATAAACATAACTTCATTTTGAACCCATTTCTTAAGTTGTTTATACGATGTCATCACACTTTTCAGAGTGGAGGTGTCAGTATTTTTGTCATTAGTAAGGCAGATCCCCAGTACCGTGATAATATATCTATACGTATTCATTAGCATCATTGACTTTATCATGTGCCCGTGTTTGGGGTAATTAGGGTTTCTTTGTTGGAAACTTTTGTTGTTATTTTTCTCGGTACAGATATACATGCTTTTAACAACAAGGACATTTATATTTTGACCACCTGCAAACAGCTTCACGACAAGACACATTGTATTTTTAAATGACCCCTTATAGGGCAAACATGTGGGTATACTTAATGTTGGGCATCTTTTACCAAACCCCGATGCTTCCACACACCTTTTCCTCCTTTGAAGCTACGCAAGAGCAAATTATTCGTGGAATATACAGTTAGACTAAGGTCTCCATATGTACATGTCAAGTTTTTCTCCACAGAGTATCATTCAAGGTTGTGCCTATTGTTTTATTTACACTTGCTTTGCTAAAGCGCAGTTATGGAGCTTATTTCCGTCAACTTTACGTGTACAGAATTTTATGTTGTTTATGACAATTTCAGATTGCCACATTTCCATTCTGCTTTATTATTTGTGCTGCACCAGGCCAAAACAATAAAATGGAATGAAAAGACTGTGTCTTAAATGATACCCATCAAAGTTGTTATGAGAGGTATTTTTGCTGGAGACATTACTGTAACCCTTTCTAACACAGAATAATGTGAACCACGTGCAATGATGTAGACTTAGAACGTGGATGATAAATGTTTATGTATTAGCGCGAGATTTTTAAAGTATCTTTTTTATTTTATTCACATGTTTTTGGTCACAATTTCTGAATATCTCAATTCTTAGAATAAAAGAGGTATTGCATCTATTGTATGACAACTAAAAGCAATTAAATTTAATCAAAGTTTAAACTAAAATATATTTTTACCCAGTCGAGAGTAATGTTATCTTTTAAATATTTAGAGATGGAAAGTGAAAGAAAAAATATATTTTTTGATTCATCACCAAAATTAATTACTTGATTTATTTTTTTATACATAGACAGTCTTGTCCAAGTCTTTAAGTGTCTTCTCACATGACGCGATATCCAGCTGGACATGCATGTTCTGTTACAGGGAATATTTCCCTATTCTACAATATTTGTAGCGATATTTTATCTCCACACAATTCCTTAAACCATGTGAACGCGGTACGGTATGCTCTACCGCAAAGATGAAATCTCTTCTTTCATATTTTCTTTTGTAACCTATCATCCAGTCTTGGGAAATAAGATAAAGTATTGAATATCTCGCCTGTTTGAAAATTATGTGCTAGAAGTGAAAGAACAAGGATGTTTCAAGAGTTCTTTGATTTTATATAGCATGGTTACTTTGTTCTTTCTGGTTGCATATTCGTTAGTTTTAAAAAGTTATTTTAATAAGTTTAACTCTTCTGCTAGATATCTTTTGTCTATAGATCGTCTGTAAAAGTTGTCATGATACTTATTTTAGTTGAATCTCATTGGCAGGAAATAATGTTTGGATGACTATTAATATGAGTTGGTTTTCAAGCCATATCTCTTTCTGTTGTTTTAGTCATGGCATTCAGGGTAAACTCTATGAATGGACATTTCTTATGTAGGAGACTATAAAGATGTTCCTGACGCTAAAATATTTCTTTTATATAATAATGACAATTTTAGTGTGATTGATGTTATGTACGACTTGTTCTAAGACTTTGTTTGGTGTTATTTAATTGATTAATGGTCAAATAATCTCTAGAATGTCATAACAAAAGACGGTTACTGTAACTTCAGTTGACTTAAAAAATAATAGTCATTGTTCAAGCCCGTACGCAGAATGTTTGAAATGGGGGTTCTAATTTGTCAGATCAAAAGCCAACACATCTTGTGCGTAGCACAATCACCATGCAAAGCATGCTAATGCTACGGAGGTCTGGAGAAATGTTTCCAGAAAACTTGTAAAAAAAAATGGCGCTATAAGATTAAATCTGGAAGCAATATTGCCTGAAATTTAGCTTAAACAATTGCATGACTTTTCACACAACGCTAGAAACCGGGTTTCGATACCCGTGGTGGGCAGAGCACAGATAGCCATTGTGTAGCTTTGTGCTTGATTTCAAACAAACAAACAAACAATTAATTGTTAAATTATATTACTAATTTAAAAACTCTGTACAACAATAGTATATTAGCTATTTCAATCATTGGCTATCATATACTTACATGTACGCGTTACTGAAATAACATGTTAGCATTCTCCATTCTATGGGGGCTCTTTTCCATAATAGATTACATACAGTTTCAAAGTTGATAGTGTCATAAAGATTGTGTATTAAAGCTAGAGCACTCAGTCTTTCTTCAGTTTGTGTAGACCTCAGGTAATTATTCCACGGGCTGAGATCAAATTGCGAGTCGAATGCCCTGACACCAGACCATGCCAGGCCAAATAATACAAACACTAACAAGTATTTCTGAAGTCGCAAATGAACAACACCACTAATAGAAAAAATAGATGTTTTAATGACAGTGAGTTAAAATGAATTTTTTATAAGTTCAGTCTGTTCACAATAAATGGTTTTTAGCCTTTTATAAGAATGATTTGAGCATGCTCATACAGTCATATTTGCATATTTTGTATCAAATAATATCATTATTATTAAGATGGAAGCAAATACACTTAGCACTGTCAAACTGAGAAATGCCTATTGTATTAAACATCTACATATTTATTTTGTATAATGATACAGATTCTATGGACATCATCAACGATTTATTTGAACAGCAAACAGTTCTATCAGACACCTGTAGAAAGATGTGTAATTCAGCATTTCATCTGTCAGAACACAACCTACCAAAACGAAATGTAATGACAAAATATAACATAAAATTATTATAAATAGCATCTGTAACCTTATATCCCTTCATATTAAATATGCAGTACTTAGCTGGTCCTCCTCATACTCTAATAACCTCTGCTTTCGATCAGGTTATTGATGTGATCTGCTGTAATGTCATCCAAAACTTCTCACTAGAAGGCGCTGCAACTCAGCTAGAGTAGCTGGTTTAGGGTCGTGGTTAGCAATTTTCAGACTCAGTTCTGTCAAACAATTCTCAATGGGATTAAAATCTGGAGACTTGTAGCCATGACAATCTTGTAACGTTCTTCTAGTCGAAATAATCTCGTACAATACGCACACTGTGGGCAGTAGCATTGTCATTTTGGAACACAAAGCTATTTTCAAACCTTGCCTTAGCATATAGCAGAAATACCGTCTCCATGTGATGCCTATAGTAGGCGCCATTTACGTTTCACTGGAAGATAGGAAGCGCAGTTTTTTCACCATGATGAATAGCTGCCCAAATATGTACTGCACCACCTCAACTGTGTTCCCCATGGGAAAGACAGCCTTCCCTCATCAGGCAAATGACGAACACGAATCCTACCATCAGCCTTAAAAAGCTGGAAAGAGGGCACATCTGAAAAAAATGACATGTCGCCAGTGTCCTAACTGTAAATTGGCATGCTGTGTTGCTCAAGTAACAAAATGACGGTGGTGAATTCTGATTAATATCGGTTTGTAGATAGCCCTTCTTGCAAAATAATATTGTTTGGTCAGTTTTCTATTCACTGTTCTTCTATATACCCTAGAATGAACGTGTCCATGTCATTCCTGTCTTAAGATGTTGCAAGACTTCTTTCAGCCTTAACGTGTTAACCAGATCAAAACACGGTCAACTCTGACAGGAGTTTTTCGGCGTCTACTGTTAAACTTTCCTGGAACAACGTTTCCTCTAGTCCGATTGATATTTCAGGAATCTGGATACAATACACTATTGTTTTGGCAATGCCTATTTCTGGACAGTCGAACAATTTGACGCCATATAACTTCTGGCACGTGTCGAGGCATGACTCTACACCAAGTACAGAGAAACTGTCTGAATAAAGCGTTGATCTGTTTCGAAAATATTAAATCTAGTTTACCCTTTTATATAAAACAGGTGTATGTGTGTGAAAAAGCTGAAAACATATTATACAAACCAGAATAACAACTGATACATGTTTGTCCGATCATACTCTACCTTCTCTGTTACTACTCGGGCATTTAATCAATAACTATTTCATGTACATAGAATAGTATGCAAACATTTTGCTCAAAACTGTAGAAGTACAATTCTTTTTGATATCTATGGCATGATTAAAAGTTGATAATATTTTAAACTAGAAATATAAAACTTGTCAACGTAGCTCACATTGTAACTGAATTGTTTTATTAAACTCAACGATACAGAAGTTACACAAACTCTTTAAATATATATTTATCTTTTCAACCCGAGATCTTTGAAGTAACTGGAAATATTGCATTAATATATTTAACAATATTTCTGTTGCATTTGCACAAAAACAAAAATGATCACCATTCTCAAAATCTAGCTTACTCCAATGTTAAGAATATATAGTTTGAAGTATGTACAAAGCAGGAAGTATTCACACGGGTAAATATGATTCTTAGCACATAAGCACCTCAACCAATTGAACAGGTTATGTACATATACACGTAGGGGAGCTTGAGTATATTTTACAATAATAACTTAATACCATTTGCACTGTTTCAATGCTTGGATACTGAAACCGTCATAAAGTTTATATATGTTGCTGACTTATACTTAGTTAAATAAGCAACAGCTTTACAGACTCTTTCGGTAGGAACCTCAACTTTGTAATAATAGTAATTATTTTCGTCACTATGCAACAGCTGTAAGGCAGAACACGACATTAGGGTTTTAAACAAAACACGAGCTTTTAAAGTACTGCTGTACTGTTATAACAAGCACCTGGTGGTGTTCTATATAAACAAATTATGCCCTTGTATATTTTGAAACTATGACAAGCGTGTTGCTGGCGCTGCAAAAACGTTTCACAAATAACTATATTGTCATTTTACCAGAATTAATAAAATTCTCACTGAATGTGTCTTTTTCAAAATTATGCATGGGTGCTGACTAATTATTATTATTACTGCCTTTGTCGTTTGTATGAAAAAAGCTTGTTTAAATATCCAAACTAATTCTAGTACTACATTTGACTGATTTTTTATCTTGTAAGTAATATAGAATTAAATCCAAATTGTCGTACTTAAAAATTTTCCTACATACATGAAATATATTTGAAGTTTGTTACCTTTGATGATAACTTGATCCAGGGAGATCAGTCTAAAAAAAGATGATATTTGAAATAACATAATTTCAAAGTAAAGTTACATTTCGCCATTGTTAGTGATCTTAATGTGCAATTTGTTTGATATAAATATCGTATAAGACTTGGTTTACATCCTAACTTTCAGTAATTTTCAGTTGGATAAACTCGGTGTATTCAGTAAACTGAACATTCTGTACAAAAGATGATTAAAATGCGGTTATGAAAGTTTCATGTCAATATGTAAGGATTGCTCGTTGAGAAGAATCAAGACTCTTGAAAGGATCAGAAGACGAGTAGATTAGACCTAAAAACCTCTTGTATGTTAACATCTTCACGTGAAAGAAAATACAAACTACAATGATCACATTAGCTACGTGTTCAAGTGTAATGTGTCGGAGGCTGCTACCTTTTCGGTGTTAGTATTTAAAAAGTTCCAATATTTTATCACAAAGCTCCTGATTCACAATTCACTGTTTTTCTGATGACGAAAATGAAAAATGACTTGTTTCATCTTGATGTTCTTTTGAAGACGACCTCTGACCATCTTCCAACGCCTTTATCTCGGCATCTGTGGCACAGAAACAGTATCAATTTCATTTTTATACAATCTCACATTGTTAACGCATAAAAAGGTATTAACTAAAGCTCTACTGAATAACATTTGCACATTACAGTTTTTCGTGACAGAAACGTTCACTGGAGCATCCTTTAACGTTTATTTAACTAACATACTATCTGCACTATCTTCAGACTCTCCTCTAATAGTACTTAACGAACTGTGGTCAATGTTCAAGTCCCACAATAAAGTTTAAAATTTATTGCATATTTACAAGGCCATCGAGATTTTTGTAATAATCTATATTCCAAGAAGTGTACTATTTCAAAATATGTGCAAATGTTTTATAACTGTCGTTTGTCTTAGTTTGCTCGTGAGTTTTATCTAATGAAATAAAAAGTTGTCGTTATGATGTTTACGTAAATTAAATCTACATTTCGTTATTTGATAAGTAACTGAAGAGGACTGGAAATCGCATCATTATATTGGTTATATTTTATTCCATTCTGATAAAATAAGAATTCGTGGATGATTATCTAGTCACAATCAACGAATGATGCAAATAAATAACAATCCATAATCAACGTTAGTCTGGATTATTCACTATATTTTATACCTATAGGCTTAATATATAAAACCGTAAAACCTTAAAAGTGTTTAAAAAACACTATTTTATAATTCTAAAACATCATTTCAGGGAAACACCAGTAAAGATTAAAATATTATTATCTTTTTCACAACACTATTTCTTTACATTTCAATATAAACAGATAATTTAAGATAAAAATTAGAATTTTACCTTTCTTTGCTCTTTCTTGCCAGAAAGCTTTGTTATGCTCTAAGCATAGAACCCAAGGTCTTTGAATCTTCTTTCCATTACCTAAGCCTAAAGTAGCAGAACTAGAGGCACTATTACTAGAGGGGTTTGCCTTATACTCGAAACCTGGACCATTCGCGGTGTCCAAAGAAGCGTAATTAACGTCCTTTGTTGACTTTATACGAGAGTTACATTCTGCAAATGATAAAAAAATCTAAATAAACTTCTTAGACTCGCCTTAACAGCGGTTACTAAAAGCTATATATACTGGGCAAGTTTTCAATCTTTACATGATTGAAACTTACATGCTTTGCTCCTTATACTTCATAAAATAAAAAGAGAAAAATGTCTATTAAACAGATGTTTTTGAAAGACCAGTTAATCAGAAAACTCTTTGAAAGGATTACTAGGAAGTACAAGTACACGAACGACTGTTTAAAAGGTCATAGCAATTGTACCTATATTTCTTTTAATAAGTAATGATAACATTCTCTGAAGAAATAACATTGAGATACAACATGTCAATACCATCTGTAACTAACAAACATTTTTTTGCACTATAAAACCCCTACAACCCGAGCATTTTAAAATGTGTGTTTTTTTCCTGAGAGGCAAACTATCAAACGTGACAAAGTTATTCTGCCAGTAACCCAAAGGATGAAAATGTGTCTGGTAAAATGTTTTTGATTGTAATATATATTTGTATAAATTATGTTGGTGAATTTGTAAATGAATTTTCCACGATACAAACGATACTCCCTTGTTAACACACAATTGTTGTCATGATATAAAAAACTGTTTAGTGTAGGTATTATTAATTATCTTATTTTGTGAATGAATATTTCATGATTGTTTAGTTTTTTCATAACAAGAGAATTAAAAGCAATTATTTTAAAGTGAACGTTATGCGAGTTTACCTATGTAACTCGGTAAGAATAGTACGTTGTGTTTATAATTCATTGATGTTGAGGCTATCGAACGTCGCGTGAAAATTATTGATATCGAGGATACAGAGCTTTCTGGAAGGCAACCAGATGATTAAGTGATAGTATATAAATAGTGAAGAGATGAGCGGGAACAGCAGATAGAGCAGACGAGCAAGTAAAATCACGGGAAGTAGAAGTTTGGCCAAAGAAAAGTTAAACGTAAAGTGAACTGCCGTAGGAGTGAAAGGCCTGATGGTTAATATAGGCCTAAATAGATAAGTATAATTTATTCCGTCAAAGCGAGTTTTAAAGTAATTGATCCAGCTTGAGTGCACTTTTACCAATGGTTGTTGTTTGTTAGTTAAACACAAAGGCACACAATGGGATATCTGTGCTCTGCCCATCACCAGTATCTGAACCCGGTTTTTAGTCTTGTAAGTCTGCAGACATATCGCTGTGTCACTGGGGGGCTTGACAAAAGGAACAGACGATATCTGAAGTAGGAGGACCAGACGATTACTGGAATGCGACTGTGGTAACTCATGCTATAATTGAATACTAGTGCGATAGAAATAGAGAGAGTAGTTCGTCTTGTCAACTGAACAGGCCTAGGTGGACTTTTAATAAGAAGAAAACTATAT